GGGATGGCGAGGTCTAATTTGAATCCGCGCGTGGCCCTCACTGTGCTGGGCCCCCCAGCAGGCCTCGAAAATGGCGACAGTTTCGCAGATCGCAGCCCCCCAGGGATGGCGAGGTCTAATTTGAATCCGCGCGTGGCCCTCACTGTGCTGGGCCCCCCAGCAGGCCTCGAAAATGGCGACAGTTTCGCAGATCGCAGCCCCCCAGGGATGGCGAGGTCTAATTTGAATCCGCGCGTGGCCCTCACTGTGCTGGGCCCCCCAGCAGGCCTCGAAAATGGCGACAGTTTCGCAGATCGCAGCCCCCCAGGGATGGCGAGGTCTAATTTGAATCCGCGCGTGGCCCTCACTGTGCTGGGCCCCCCAGCAGGCCTCGAAAATGGCGACAGTTTCGCAGATCGCAGCCCCCCAGGGATGGCGAGGTCTAATTTGAATCCGCGCGTGGCCCTCACTGTGCTGGGCCCCCCAGCAGGCCTCGAAAATGGCGACAGTTTCGCAGATCGCAGCCCCCCAGGGATGGCGAGGTCTAATTTGAATCCGCGCGTGGCCCTCACTGTGCTGGGCCCCCCAGCAGGCCTCGAAAATGGCGACAGTTTCGCAGATCGCAGCCCCCCAGGGATGGCGAGGTCTAATTTGAATCCGCCCGTGGCCCTCACTGTGCTGGGCCCCCCAGCAGGCCTCGAAAATGGCGACAGTTTCGCAGATCGCAGCCCCCCAGGGATGGCGAGGTCTAATTTGAATCCGCCCGTGGCCCTCACTGTGCTGGCCCCCCAGCAGGGCTCGAAAATGGCGACAGTTTCACAGATCGCAGCCCCCCAGGGATGGCGAGGTCTAATTTGGATCCGCCCGTGGCCCTCACTGTGCTGGGCCCCCCAGCAGGCCTCGAAAATTGCGACAGTTTCACAGATCGCAGCCCCCCGCGGGCAAGACAGGAAGAGGCTGGAGGGGAAAAGGAGGAAGGGCGGGAGAAGGGACGCGACCACACTGCTCTATTCAAAACGAATACCCAACCAAGGAGGGTTGGGAATTATTCGTAACGCGTTGTGGGTCCCGCTTTCGGTGGGGCTCCCTATGGGGCCACGAAACGCTGCCCTGGGCGGGGGAACCGCATGCGAACTGCGCCACTGGGGCCTTCGGTGGCGCTCCCTATGGGGTCACGAAACGCCGCCATGGGTGGGGGAACCGCATACGAACTGCGCCACTGGAGCCTTCGGTGGAGCTCCCTATGGGGCCACGAAACGCTGCCCTGGGTGGGGAACCGCATGCGAACTGCGCCACTGGGGCCTTCGGTGGAGCTCCCCATGGGGCCACGAAACGCTGCCCTGGGTGGGGGAACCGCATGCGAACTGCGCCAATGGTGCCTTCGGTGGAACTCCCTATGGGGCCACGGAGCGCTGCCCTGGGTACGGGAACCGCATGCGAACTGCGCCACTGGGGCCTTCGGTGGAACTCCCCATGGGGCCACGAAACGCTGCCCTGGGTGGGGGAACCGCATGCGAGAGCAGCCACTGGGGCCTTCGGTGGAGCTCCCTATGGGGCCACGAACGCTTGCCTTGGGTTGGGTGGGGGAACCGCATGCGAGAGCAACCACTGGGGCCTTCGGTGGAGCTCCTTATGGGGCTGCGAAACGCTGCACTGGGAGGGGGGGAGGGGGAGGAGGGGGGAGGAGGAGAAAGGAAGGTGGGACGCGGGGCGCTGTCTCTTCAAAACGAGGACCCAACGCCACAGGATGGTTGGGAAAACATCTGGTTCCACATCGAGCCGCATCGTCAATGAGGCGCGATCCTCCAACCCCATCTGCTCGGCCCCCAGTTGGGATGCCTAGAACCTAGAGAGGAGGATGAGAAGAGGAGGAGGAGGAGGATCAGGTGGAGAAGGAGGAGGATGAGGAGGAGGAGGAGGAGGAGGAGGAGGAGAGGAGGAGGATGAGAGGACGGACGACGTTTTGGGAGGAGGGGGAGGGGGAGGTGAGGAGGAGGAGGAGGAGAGGAGGAGGAGGAGAAGAAGAAGGAGACGGAGGCGGACGACGAGGAGGACGAGAGGAGGAGAAGAAGAAGAAGAGGGAGGAGGAGGAGGAGGAGGAGAAGAAGGAAGAAGAGGGGGGGCAGCCTCAGAAGCGATTGCGGCGATGTGCTGTCGGCCACACTGGGCGTCGAGAACCAGCGCGAGGGGGAGAGCACCGACACCATCTTGTACTCATCGCCGCGTCCGCTTTTCACAGCCTGAATCTACAACCTCCTCCGCCTCCTCCTCCTCCTCCGCCTCCTGCTCCTCCGCCTCCTCCTCCTCCTCCTCCTCCTCCTCCTCCTCCACATGTAGGAATGACGACGCTGGAACCAAAACTCTGCGCACGCGCGCTCCCAACTGTGACTCAGGTTTGAGCGTTTTCTCGATCGCCCTATTGGCGCCCTGGGCCAGGGCGTGATCGGCGGCTGCGGTTGCGCCGCGACGCTCTCAAGGCACAAGGGCGAAGGGGAGGTGGACGGAGAGAACGGGGCAGGGAGGGAAGCAGGGAGATGGAGGGGGAGGAGGGAGACGGGAGGGAGACTGGGAGAGGCGAGTGGGGGGGACGGAGGGGGATGGGGAGGGAGGAGCGCAGGGGCGCAGGAGTGCAGGAGGAAGCGGGGCAGGGAGGGAGAAGGGAGAGGCAACCCGCGGGCAGGAGCGACGAGCCGCGCGAGGAGCGCGCCTGGAGGGCACGAGGAGGGGCGGAGGCACGGGCCGAGCACGCGGAGCCCGCGTGCCCCCGCACGCCGCGGGGGCCTCTTCGGCCTCCAGGAGCATGTTGTTGTTCACGTCGGCCTCGCGCGGCCAGTGGACGGGGCGGGGGGGGAAGAGGAGCAGGGGGGGCCAGCGTCCCGTCTCCCTCCTCCGCCTCGCTCCTGGAAGGGGCTCCGGTCGGAGACGAGAGAGGTGGGCCGAGGAGAGAGAGAGCGAGGCGGGAGGGGGGAGGGAGGAGCAGGGAGCGGGGGGCCGGAACGAAGGAGGAGGCGAAGAGGGGGAGGAGCCGAAACAAACCAGGGGATGATCAAACATATACATCCAAACAATATGACAGTTTACGAGATGAATAAAGAAGACAGCGGCCGAAGACGAAAGTGGTGAGCAGCACGGACGATTGAGCAGTCGACAAGCACGCAGGCAGGTCAAGGGGAAACTACGAGGGACGCAAGAGGACATGTGATGCGTGGATTTATATGTAAGACAGCCCTCATCTGGAACATTTCTTCCAATACTAGAACCATCGCGCGTGCGCTCAAATTCTGGTGGAAAACGGCGCGCAAACACCCAACGCGCGTCATTCGATTTCTTTGCATGAGCATCGCCTGATCCATTGTTCGCTAAAAAGGGAGGTACTAAGGTGCATGAAGGCGTGGGTCCCTTGGAGACTCTCTTGAGGTATCTTGTGGTCTCTTGAGGGCGTCATGGAATCATCTTGGAGCGTCTTGGGCCATCCTGGGATGTCTTGGCGGCCTCTCGGCTGTCTCCTGAGCCCTCTTGGAGGGCTCTCCGGGTCGAAGTAGCTCCTGAAGGCTCGAAAAAGGTTCCCGGGCCCCTGGGGCACTGTGGAGGTTGCGGCGGGGTGGGGTGGGAACTTTGGGAAAAAGCGCCGCCTCTGGGCCCGAGGACCAGGTCACCGATGACATGATGTCTTATGCGCACATGCATCGAAACACCCGCATGGAAATGTACGCGTGGCCAGGTGTAGTGTAGTGCGAACGCCACCACTAGCTTGTAACGGCACGGAGGCGCTTATGTCAAAGCACAGATGCAGTCGGGCCTAGGACAGAAGAACATCTTTCAAGAGCATGAGACCCTCCGCCGGCCGAAACGCCCCAAACCACAAGGATCACTCGAGGGTGCCCTCCCATAGGATACACCCTGCGAAATGCTTAAGAAATCATGGGTTAAGAAATTCATAGTCTCAGACCTTGAATAAAAACCCAGAACTTCTATCAAAATCTTGGGATTCACATTGAAACATTAAGAATAATCGAGCCTCTGGCCGAAAACTTGGGTTTTCTTAAGCATCGCCTGGAGTGTACACACAGACATCCAACAAGCACGAAGAACACTGGGGCACCCTCCCCGAGCCGACCTCGATCCTGCACCTCGCCCCGACTGCAGCGGGTTAGCGTGCCAGGAGAGGGCCGCAGGCAAGCTGCGCGCGGCGTTCCTCCTCTCTGCCGCTTCCCCCTCCTCCTCAGACTCCTCCCCCCCCTCTTCCTCCTCCCCCTCCCCCTCCCCCTCCCCTCCCCCCTCCCCTCCCCTCCCCCTCCCCCTCCTCCTCCTCCCTCCTCCTCCTCTCCTCCTCCTCCTCCTCCTCCTCCTCTCCTCCTCCTCCTCCTCCTCCTCCTCCTCCTCTCCCCTCCTCCTCCCTCCCTCCTCCTCCCTCCTCCTCCTCCTCCTCCTCTCCTCCTCCTCCTCCTCCTCTCCTCCTCCTCCTCCTCCTCCTACCTCCTCCTCTCCTCCTCCTCCTCCTCCTCCTCCTCCTCCTCCTCCTCCTCCTCCTCCTCCTCCTCCTCCTCCTCATCCCCCCCCAACCTCCCCAACCTCCTCCTCGACGAGGCGCGGCGTGTGCTCCAACGCCGCAGGCAAGCTGTCCCGTGCCACTGGCGGCCGCGTCGGCGTCGCGAGAGCTGGTGCGCGGGCCCCTCCCCCCATCCTCCCCCAACGAGAAAGAGGGGGAGGAGGAGGAGGAGGAGGAGGAGGAGGAGGAGGAGGAGGAGGAGGAGGAGGAGGAGGAGGAGGACGACGAGGACGAGGAGGAGGAGGAGGAGGACGAGGAGGAGGAATAAGAGGAGGAGGAGGAGGAGGAGGAGGAATAGGAGGAGGAATAGGAGGAGGAGGATGAGGAGGAGAGAGACAACAAACAGAGAGAGAGAGAGAGAGACAGGGAGAGGGAGAGAGCGAGAGGGAGAGAGCGCGCGCGCGGTGGTGCGAGGTATGCGTGCTGCACAAGCAACAATGGTGCAGGCTACGTGCGGTGCGAGCTGTGTGACGTAGCCAATGGTTCGAGCACTGTTGTGCAAGCTGTTCAAGCTGGTGTGTGCAATCTGTGTGGTGCAGCCGGTGTGGTGCAATATGTGTGGTGCAAGCCATGTGGTGCAACATGTGCGGTGCAAGCCATGTCGTGATATCTGCATTTGGTGTAAGCTGTATGGTGTGCTTTTACGCGCTGCAAGATGGCCACAGCGCAACCCGGTACAGCTGCTAACATAACTCCAGGGCGGCGCCATGACCGTCCCAAAACGTCGCCAAGCGGCCACGCGGCCTTCCAAGGACCCCCCCTCCCGAGAGGCCGAACTCCTTCCAGCATCTGAGGGCATTCAGTGTGTTCCGTAATCTCGCCATTTCGATTCCGATGGGCTCTTGAGGCTTGAAGATTGCTCCAAGATGGCCCAAGGGAATCCCGAGAGGGGCCCACAAGAGGACCCGGGACGGCCCAAACAGGGCCCGGGGAGGTCATTTGTTGGTTTCCGAGGGGGGGTCCTCCTTCTTTGATCCAAGGCCCCCTAGAGACACCGCAAGAGGGCCCCAAGAGAACCCCAAATGCATCCAAAGTGACACAAAGAGGGCCTCCAGATGGCCAAAAAAGCTGCCCTGATTTTCGAAAGGAGGAGGGAAAAAGGGGGGGGAGGGAGGAGGAAGCGGGAGAGGAAGGAGGGGGAGGGAAGGAGGAGAGATAAGGGAGGGAGGGGAGGGAGGAGAAAAACACAAGGAGCCCCAGGGAACGCCTCGCTGAAGAGCTCGAAGAGGCCAGCGGCATCGCCCTCGAACTCCTGCGCGAGTTAACGCCCACCCTCCTCCTCCTCCTCCTCCTCCTCCTCCTCCTCCTCGTCGTGCTCCTCCTCCGACGACATCCTCCTCCTCCCCCTCCCTCTCCCCCTCCTCCTCCTCGTCCTCTCCTCCTCCTCCTCCTCCTCCTCCTCCTCCTCCTCCTCCTCCTACTCCTCCTACTTCGCCTCCTCCGCCTCCTCCGCCTTTTCCTCCTGCTGCTCCTCCTCCTCCTCCTCCTCCTCTTCCTCCTCCTCTTCCCTCTGTGTCCTCGCCGCTCCCCGCCCCCTTCCCCTAGCGTAGCAATTCCCTGGGAGGAGGTTTGAAAAAGATGAAGTCGCTTAGGGGGCTGGCCTGAGTCAAGCCTGAAGCCTCGAGGCCCCTGCGGGCAGTCATGTGCGCAGAGCCGGGCGTCTCTCTGGATCCCCTGGGCCTGCCTGGGGCGCGCCTCTGGCGGCGTTGGGCGAGAGGGCGGGGTGCGAGGCGGGGATTTATCCATATCCACCGCCTGGGAGCTGACGTCCCGGTGCCCGAGCGGGCGGTGGATATGGGTACATTCTGGCCCCCGGGGGGCCGAATGTATCCATGTCCACCGCCTGTGGAGGTCCGCGAAGATCGATCCCCCAGGCGGCGGCTATGGACAGGTCCCCGCCTCGGAGGGGGCGCCCGCGCAGGCTGCGGGAACTCCCTCAAAAGACCCATCACTGCACCGACCTTGCAGGCGTGCTGCGATGGATTTTTGGGCGGATTTCTGTCCATGCAAGACCCCGAGATGGCGAGCGAATAACGAAATGAATGTCACGTGGATTTTTTTAGTCTTCATTCCTGGCCAAAAAGATCCGCACGAAATTCACTTCGAAATCCGGAACGAAAATCTCCAGGACACTCCGGGCCCATCCTACTGCTTTCCGAACGAAATCCGCTCTGCGATGTTGGCGCCATGAGACTCAGTGCAAGGATGGGGGTTTGGGTGTCGTCAGCTAGACCCGAGACCCCCTCCCCAACAGGCAAGGCCAGCGAGAGAGAGAGAGAGAGAGGCGGCAAAGCACCCCGCCTCGATCGTTGCCGCCGCGTGCGCGCGCGGTCGCTCGACGCGGGGGACGGTGGCGTTCCTCATTCCACCCCCCCCCCCCCCCCCCCCATACACCCCCCCCCATACGCCCCTTCTCACCATCCTCGACCACGGTGGAACCTCTATCGGGCCCCCTGACACCCGTCCCAGACAAGGCCAAGGGCAAGGGGAGGAAGCACCGCGAGTGGAGAGGGCAAGAAGACGGGGGGACCCGACAGGTGGAGCGCGAGAGAGAGAGAGAGAAGGGATGGGGGCAAGACAAGACTAGAGTCTATCTACCCAGGCCTAACAAAGAAGCGGAGCGGTAGGAAGAGAGGAGCGAGAGACGACGCGCAGACAGGACCCGACTAAGATGGGGAAGCCGCAAAACACCAGCACGACGCAAAGGACAAGGCGAGCAAGGAAGAAGGGAAGTGGCTTGCGGTAGCGCGTTTCCTTTTGCTCGTTACGTATTTTGAGATTTGAGCAAGCGTCGTATTGCAATCGTCTCTGGATCGTGACCGAGACCCCCACTATCAGTCCGTGCCGTCCATCCGTGGAAAGAGAGGTTCCACAGTCGCGCTGTTCCCCACCAATTGTGGTCAGGACGTCGTGCCGCTTTGTAAACCTGGGGGCCTCCCACAGCCCCGTCATCCCCCCTCTAAGCGCGAGCCCGCAGGCCAAAGCTTTAGAGCGCACGCTGGCAACGAGGACGAAGGCCGCAGCGGCCGCTGCGCCTCCGCGGGCCGAGCAGGTTACAGGGCAATGCATGACCTGAGAGACCGATCAGCTTCTCCAGAGAGCCCTGCTACTTCGACTGGCCGCCGTCGTCGATGGTCACCGCTGAACTCAAGCTCCAGCTTAGGCCGCGCGCAGGGCCGAGAACAGTTCGACTGCATATCTGAAAACTGAAACACACTGATTTTTCTCGCGATTGTCTCGCTTGGCGCGCCCATCCTCTCCCCGCCGTGAACGCTGGCAACTAAGCAACATTGCGCGGCGCGTCGGCGCGCGGCCGCAATGGCGGCGCAACGGCGGCACGTCGCTGCGCGCCTGTGTCAAAGGGCGAGGAGTTATGCCTTACCATGAGCGCGGCCCGTCTGCTTGAACACGACGTGCGCGAATGACGGACAGGGCACCGACTAAGCGCGGCGCCCGCGCCAGCTCCGACGAGCTCGACACCTGCGCCGACCTGCAGCGCGGCCGCGCGCGCGTGATGGAGCAGCCGCGCGCGCAGCTTGCCGTCTCGGCGACGCATCGTCGATGTTCTAGCGACGCAGCTCCTGTTCTGGCTCTGTCGCGCTGTTCGCGCGCACCTCCTGTGCAATCGTCAACGGGGCGCGCCGGCGCGTCCGCGCGAGCCGCGGACCAGCGACATCAGAACAAACGCGTCGGCCGGGCCGTCGGGGCGCCGTCCGCCCCGACCCTTTGAGCGACCCGAACCGCAGCGCAATGGCATTTTTTGCCAAGTCCACCGCTGCGTCATCCAGCGCGACCGGATACGAGAGGCGGTCGAGCTCGGCCTCTTCTCGCGCCTGCTTGAACAGCGTTTCTTCAAATTGGCCTACCCTGAGCGAGGCGAGGGGCCCCTCGTTGGTCATCAGCGCGCGCGCATCGACGCGGTAGGCGCAGGTGCGCGCGCGCGCCGAGCACCTCTTTCGATGTCAGCAAGCTTGACGGGCTCCGTTGCGCGCGCCCAACCACTGGCCCGGCCTGCGAGAGCGTCGCGCGCGAGCACCTCGCAAAATGGGAAGGTGGGGGCCAGCGCGACGCGCTGCGCGACCTCCGCGAAGAAGCGCGCGCAATCCATGCCACCATGGTTCGTCCTCGACGCGAGAGCTGCCAGAAATGGCACGTCGACGTCGCGCGAGATCGCAGCGATCGCGGAGTCGGCGCGGGAGCGCTGCGCCCTCCTTGCAGTCGACGCACGAAACTACATTGCCGCGATCCCTGCAAGTCTGCTGGAGGGACCTCACTGACGACTAGGCGACGGCGTCTGTTACGTCGCGATGTAAACTCTTTGCGTTGCCGAATGGCTCGCTTCCCTCCTGGAGCGACTCGCGGATGTAGCGGGGCCCGCCTGCCTCGGCGGATTCAGCGGATCCTCGCTCCAGCTTGCGGAGACCCCATCATAGTCACGCAGCTGGCCCCTGTCGCCCGCCGCACAGCGAACGCGCGCGCCGCGGCGCTGACGCCGGCAACTCGACGAATCAGACGGGGCCGGCGGCGCAGGTGGCCGACGCCTGCACTCCGGCTGCGTCGGCCGCGTCGGACAGCGACGCGGCGGTCGCAGCAGTTCGGGCTGACGCGGGAAAATAAAGACAAATATTGAGATAACGCGATGGCCCGCTGACCGAGCGCGCAGCGCGGGTCGCGCGCGCAACCGCGCCGCGCTGACCCGGCGAGCCGCCTGCCAGCGCGCCGCGACGCCCGTTGCGGCGCAAAGGCCATCAACCCCCACTCGCACTGACAGACGCACGCGAGAACACCGAGACGAGAGGCGTCGCGGGCCGACGAAGCCGATTGGCGTCGGCCGCGGTGCAGACACGGAGGCGCGTCGGTCTAGATAACCGAATGAAGCGAGTTACGCATGTTGCTGGCGACGCAAAGAAGTCCTCGCCGCGCGACCTGCCGCGCGCGCGCAGGGCACCAGACTACGCGCGGAGCGAGCCGCGATGCGTGCCAGAAAACGAATCACGAGCGAACCTTCTTCGCTGGCCGCGGAGGCGCCCGCGGCTCGCCGTTGTCGCCCCGGCCCCAGATGCCCCGCCGGGGGCGCTTCCGAGCGCCCTGGTCGTCCAAGCGGCTGCTGTTGCAGGTAGATTTCCAGCCGCCCTTGCCGGCGCCCTTGCGACCGGGCGCGGCCGCGCCAGCCGCCCTGCCAGAGAGCTCCTAGCTCCAGACCAAGCCGCGCGAGAAAGGCGGGGCGCCCCCGCGGCCTGCAGACGTGAGCAAAGCCTCGCACTTGTCGGCTTCATCGGCGCGCACTGATTCGCCACATTCACCGCCGCCGCAAGGCCACCCGGGCCGTGCGGGAGGAATCCGCACGCGTGCTTCGCAACTTTCCTGGTCAATCCCTTTCGAAGGGATCCGCTCTTCTCCAGGTCAATCCGCGCGCGCGGTCCGCAATTCGCGGCCAATTTTTGAAAATGCCTTGCTGAGCTTGAATTCCAGATCCCCTGCGATCGTCTTCTCCGCCCAGCTCTCGCGGGCGACCTCGTCGCATGCGGGCGCAAGATGAGCGCGCCGCGTCTGCGCCTCGTAGCGGGCGCGCTGACGTGGGCCCGCGCGCGCGCTCGCGCGCTGGCCGCGAGCCCGGGCCTGGCTGGCCACCGTGGGACTGCCTCCTGATGCTGCAAGATATCACGCGGCGGGAGCAGGTCGAGCGCCGCGGCCGTCGCCCCGCGCCCCGCGCCTGCGATCTCGCGACGCCGCGGTTGTGACCGGCCGCGGCGCGGCGCAGCGCCTCCGCCGCGCAATCGCCCACCTCGCGCTACACATGCTCTTCTTGGGGTCGTTTGCCGGGCCGGCCCCAGGGGCGCGAGCGAGATCCCTGACTTGCGCCATGCGCGTCGCGCGAGGCCATCCGCGCTGGCATCCAAGTCTTCAAATCGACATGGACAATCGGCTGCGCCACCGTGCGATTCTCCAACTTCCGCTTTTCCGAGGCGAGCAAATCGGTCATCCGCTGCCGGCGCGAAACGGCGCCCGCGCGCGCGGCGCGCCGATCAGGCAGGCGCGCCTAGGCCAACAAATCCACGGCAATCCAGCAAGTGCCAGGCGCTTCGCAATCGCTTCGGCCCAATTGACGCGCGCGCTGGCCTGGCGCAGCGCGCGCCGGGCCGCGGGCGCGCGCTTGGCGCGTCGCCTCGCCCGAGCCACTCGGCGCGCAGGTCCGCCAAGGCCAGCGGCGCGACGCCCATGGCCCGCGCCAGCTCCCGCCGCACGCTGGGCCGCCAACGCCGCGGCGCATCGCCCGCCTTGGCGACGAAGCGGTACACAGCAGAGAAGATGGGCAGCAGCGGCCCCCTGACCATACGCACGAACGCGCAGTGCCCGACCACCTGCCTCACCTGCTGCGCCGAGACCTTCGGCATGTCCAGGAGGGCCCGCGTGGCCAGGATCAGGCGCCGCGCCATGCGCGGGGTCGGAGACACCGACTCGCGCCCGCCATCAATGACCCAGCCCAGCAGCTGCGCGTGCAAGGCCGCGCTCTCCTCCTCGTCAAGGGGGAACCCGCTCTCGCGCAGCGTCGCGACCATGTCGTTATTCATCTGCTCGGTGGTGTCGCAATCCAGCGAGAGCGAGGCGAAGTTGTCGACGTGCTCAAGGTGAGCGCCGCCAGCCAAGCCTAGACAGATCTGGCGGTCCAACGCCCTCGCCGCCGTTGCCAGCCCCGCCCGATCAGCAGCCGACTCCGACGCCCGCTGACAGACGGCCAACGCGTGGGTCCAACCCATGGGCAACACCGCAAGCCGCGGCCACAGCAGCCGGGATAGCTGCTGCCCGCGGTCAGCCCCCCGCCCCATCCTCCACGCGTCTATCGGCGGGAGCGCGAAGTAGGGCCGCCAAACGTGCGGGAGCTCCGCGTTGTAGAAAGCGTCCGCGATGTCTGCAGAGGCCGTCCACAAGCACGCGCCATCGGGCAGCTCGATCTCCTTGGGCACGCTGAAGAGACCCACCTCGTCCATCACCTCGCTGGGATCGCTGGCGAGATCGATCACGCCGGCCCCCAGCAGACGATGCGCAAGCGCAGCGCAGTGACGGCGGACCCGGAGAATAGGATCCACGCAGGGTTTGCTGAAGCCAGCAACTGCAGAACTTCGGTCTTTGGCAAGACCTTGTCCGAGATATCACGATAGACGGAACCAAAGACCTCGGACTCCAAAGGCCGCTCCAGCGATTCAGGACAATTACCTTGAGGCGGCAGCGAGAGCCGGGAGACGCCCATCGCCTCCGCCCTCCGGCGGCAGGCGGCGGCGCTCCAGCCACCGAAGCCCCCGCCGCAGGCCCCCCCGCAGCTGGCACGGCGGCTGGTACCACCGCCGCAGGCGCGGGCGCTCCAGGCAGCAGCCCACCGCTCATCGGGAGGAGCGCACCACCCGCAGGCAGCGGAGCCCCAGGGAAGCGCCGCGCGAACTCGGCGTCCGCCTCGGTGGTGGCCGCGGCGAGCCAGGCAGCCTCGCGCGCCGCCGAGGGCATCCTCCCGAACCTGTAAGTCGACTCGGGAGCGATCCCAGGCGGGGGCGGCCACCTCGCCGCCGAGAAACGCACCGCGGCGATGTCGGGCCCAGCGGCCAGCAGCCGCTCCGCGTAGACCATGTCATCGGGAGCGACGATGACGTCATCCGTGAGCGCCAATTGTCCCACCACCCTCCTCGGGTGGAAAAGCGGCGCCAGCACCCAGGCCCACGCTTCCGCCATCAGCGGCAGCCGCCAGCGCCAGGCGCGCGGGAACCCCTCCAGCCGGCGCCGTGCCCTTGTGCTGCGACTCGGCCGAGAAACGGAGCGGCCCCCGCAGGCGCAGCGCCGCGATCGCGCCCAGCGCGCCGAACGAGACCCCGGCGAGGCCCGCGGCCAGGCAGGCGAAGGCCACCGCGCTCGCGGTGGCGCCCACGGTTGCCCCAGGGCACGGCGGGCAGGCCGGGCACGCGGGGCAGGGCGGTATGTCGGT